ACACCTACCAACCAGGGTAAGGGCCAAGGGGGGCAGAATGAAAATAAGAGGCCCTCACTTCCACAACCACAGTGCCAATCCGTGTTTGCAAAAAGGCAGATTGGGAACCCTGAGGACAGTTGTCAATCACTAATTTATATGCAACAGGGCTTACTGAATAGTCTGAATTTAGTGGTACACAAACTAAAAATGACTTTATTTTTTTCTCCAATCAGTTTCATGCTTTGAAGAGTATTCTTTATAACCCTGATGTCATTTGGAACAGATTCTATAGCTTTCTGGTCACCTTCAGCTATTAAAAAACTAGTAATGTTCAGTTTAAATATTTGATTTCATAAGAAATATATTGCTCACATTCTCTTCTTTCCCTAGGCCCATGCTGACAGAAGTATTGGAAGGGTTTTCCAGGTTGCCAGGCCCCTAGTATATAAGATCAATCACAGGGGGTAGAGAATGGCAGGTCTTAACATATGTTTTATGATGGCTGCCTATTGTTATCTCAGTATGGTTCACTTGCTATTTGTGACCTCCATTTGTATGATAGCCTTCTATACAAGGTTTTATTGTTTACTTAAAAGTGTCCTCAGATTCACCCCCTCCACCCTCTGTTATTCAAGGGCTTTTTGGAGAGGGAAATTTTTGTCTCTCTCTGACCCTGTAAGGTCCCCTATCTCAATGGAACATCTGCTTGTGATCTACCATGTTGATAGTCCCAAAGCTCTTTTTTTTTCTTCTCTCTTCTATGCTCTATAAAGTTTGGAAACCAGTAAAGTCTGGTCCACTTGTCTCCAAAGACCACTCCCAGAGTCAGAGCATCAGTGGACCTGCCAACTGTGCTGGAATGAGCTGTGTGGTAAACCCCAGACCCCCTTCGGTATTCTCTGTGTCAGGAGGTGCCTTCATTTTTCTAGGGATATGTTCTTCCCCGCACCTAAGGCTTTCCCACACACTCGCTCACCACTTGTGCTGTGTTTCAATCACAGTGCCATGGTAGAAATGCAGATTTTACTGCTCATAAATATCCAGCAGGGAGGGAAATGCCAGTCTTCCTTTTATTCACCTCAGTGTCCCTATATAACTAGGGTGAAGGAAGAAAGAAACTCTTCATATATACCTAATCCATAGAAGAGGAGAGAGAGTTTCACTACTAACACTGCATTCATGACAATAAAAAGAAAATCTTAAATCTCTTCTCAAGTATAACACATCATATGCTATTTCTTCTGAATTTGAGTCACCTTGATGAATGGCCTGGTCACTGTACAAATACTAGAGTGCTTCACTAAATCACATGTTTTAACAGAGAGATAATGTATACCTACTTGTATAAGATATTAAAAATTAAACTTGGCCCTGTCCAAGTTGTTCAGTTCGTTGGAACATTGTCCCACCACCAAAAGTTTACTGGTCTAATTCCTGGTCAGGGTAATACATAGGTTGCAGGTTTGCTTCCTGGTTGGGGCACATACAGCAGGCAGCCTAGCAATGTCTCTCCCTCACATCGATGGTTCTCTCTCCCCTCCAACCCCCTTCTTCTTTCCTCTCTTTTTAAAATCAATAAATATATCCTAGGGTGAGGATTTAAAAATAGTAATAAAATTGTATTATTTAGCAACATTGTTTGTCATAAATCATCAATCATTTCTAATGTTTGCTTCTGTTGTGACCTACAAAGTACTTCCTCAATTCCCAAGGTATGTCAAATGGCACTTACATATCATTTTATTAAACTACTCTGCGTGGTTTGATACTCAAAGTATTTCTATAAAAATTTCAATTTAAAATCCCTCCAAAATATGTCTGTTAAATATTATCATTCTGAGAAGGTTGCCTTTTTTTATATTAATCTTGATACTTCATTGTACCATTCAAACAACACACAGTGATACCTACCATGTAACAAGCACTAGACTTGGCTCTGGGACGGCAACAAGGACTAGACATCTCCACTGCTGTTTCTAGAGTCTATATTCTAGTTGGGGGGAAAGTGCATAGCCAAACAAATAAATAAATAAATTGCATATTATGATGAGAAATGAAGGATATAAATGGAGGTTGCTATTACAGAACAAAACTGGGATGAGGTACTTTAAATATGGCAAATAGGGACAATCTCTGGGATGAGGTGATGTTTTACCTGAGATGAGAAGTTTGGGGAAGAGGCAGTCGGATGACAGGCAGACAGAATTGTATTCCTGGTATAGGGAGAACAGTGTTGGGGCTTTGGTGTATGATCTGTTGTTCTAGGAAATGGCAGAGGGCCAATATCCCCAGTTTTCATTGACAAAGGGAGAGAATTATGTAGGGTCTTAGAAGCCCTGTTAAAGGATTCTTGTTTACATCCACAGTGCAATGAGAAATCATTAAAGGATTTAAGCAGGGAAATAAAATGAAGTGATTAAATTTTTAAAGACTACTCTGATGTCTCAGTACAAAACAAATCATAGGAGAGCAACAGTGAAAGCAGCAAGACAATTAGGAGTCTGTTGCAATCGACAGACAAGAGATGTTGGTGATTAGGACAAAAATGGTGGAACTGGAGACAGAGAGAGAGACGATATACTGATACTTATTTTATAGAGAGCACCACCAGGATTTGTCGATGGGTTGAATATAAGTAATTAAAGAAAAGAATAAATCAGTGATGACTTCTGGGGCTTTGGGAGGATCCTGGTTTTGTTTGTTGGTTTGTTTGTGTTGACCGCCTGGGTGAATGGTGGCACTATTTATTGATGATTTTTTAACAGACTGAAAGAAAATAAGACCTGACTGATAGATGGGGATGCATTGGCAATTCCACTTCAGGAATGTTTATGTGGATGTCTCTGCAAGAGGAGATATCAAGTAGATGTTTGATTTCACAAGTCTGAATCCCATAGAAAAGGTCTGGGCTGAGAAGTCACTGTTGAGGTTGTAATTAGTGAAATCATATGTAAAATAGTAAGAACAAATAAGACTACCAGGGAAATGAATAAAGAACAATGAAGGCCAGCATTTAAGTAAATGTTTAGAGTTAAAATATATAAACTGGAAAGTAGTTGGACAACAAACCAGAGCATCCAAAAAAGGTGTCTGCTATATATTCATCAAGGGAAACTTGTGATTTCCACCATGGCAATTTTGGGGAAGCTAGAGAAATATAAAGCATTTCATGATGAATAGAAAAATGGATGAAAATGGAGCAAAGGAAACAACCTACATTGATAAAAATTTTATGTTAATTAACAGTGAGAGGGAACAGAAAAAAAGAGATGTTGAATGGAAATATGGACTGAGGAATGGTGTTTTTGTTGTATTTTGTAACTTTTTAAATGTTTGTCTCTTTTTTAACCTATTTGAAAGATAGGAGATTTTAAGTGATATTATGTGAAGATGTAATCTAGTAATGAAAGAAAAGACTGATGTTTCAGGAGAAGATTAAGGGGAGAACCAAACCAGTGAAGTCTTTCAGGCAGATTTAAGGGATATGATCTAAACTGACAAGTGTGAATTTGTCTTTGATAGGAAGACCAACTTCCTCCTTTCTAATAGTAACAGAGAATGTAAAGCTGTATGTAATTACAAGAAGATTTATAGTTTTCATGCTAGAAAGATGAGAAAGTTACCAATTAATTAAACACATTAATTATTTAAGAATGAATTGTCCTGTCTTTTGACGGGAATGGCAAATTCCAGTCTTCTTTCATATCACATTCCAGTGTTTGATTGGAACATCTTTTCTGTTAGCATCACGCTATTTAGAGAGTTAGAAAATGAGCAAAGATATATGTAATACACAGAACATTGTTGATGAATACAACTTGTTATTTAGCATCTTTCGTCTTCTGGTAAAAATGAATGTCTCATAGCGCTACACAATCCCAATAGTAGCCCTCTTTTAAGATGAATATTACCTGAGAAAACATTTTCTTGAATTGGTTTCTCTAGAAACCATCTGAGAAACCAATTCAAGAAAATGTTTTCTCTAAAGATATGTAACTCTTCTTGCAATAGGAACAATGTTAGCTATAGTATTAAAACAAGTCCTTCCAATTACATATAACAATCATGAGGACTTTGTTTATTGGGATAAAAACTGTAGTACTTATAAATCATGTTATAAAATGAGTGCGTGTAGTATACATATGTCATATATATGTATTTAAGTAATATGTAGATATATTTGTCAACATAAAACACACACACATACTATTAGTATAACCTATGGCTATACATTTAATTTTATAGAAATAAATGTTTTATGGGTACTCTATTTAATAGATAACCTCAACTTCTCTGTAAATCTAAGAGAACAAGAAATATATTACATAAGTCTTCCAAATGACAGTGAAGTAGACAATTGCTTGTAATATGGTGTAATCAGTTCTTCATAAAGACATGTTTAAAGTACAAAACTCACACAATTTAAAATCTCAATACTAAAAAGGAATGATCTTGGAGATGAGCTTTGAAGGATGCATAGATGTTGAGGAGATATAAAGGAGTCCTACCATATTTTAATAAGAATAATAACATATCCAAAGGCCTTATGATATAAGTGATACAGACAAATGGGAACTAGTGGTCATTTAAAATTCCAAATGGATGCCCTGTGCTAGATTGATTTTTTTTCCCAGATCAAATTTAGTTATTGAAGATGCATCTAACATGGACAAATTCATTCATTCATAGCAAATTTTGGATACCAAGTGTCTGTCTATTAAATAACAATTAGGTTAACTACTGGAAACAGAAAATTAGATAGTCTAATAAAGACTCATGAAAAAAATTACATCTTATTTCTACGATTCTAATGTTACAGTATTTAAATATTGAAAGTTCTTCCAAACTAGAATCTTTTGCCAAATCTAAGCCTAGTAGTTCTAAATTACGTTCATCCAATGATTGCTTGAACTGTATAAGAACTGAAGATTTGGCTTTGGTTAACCTCAGTTGCTTTTCAGATAGTATGAGTACATTATCTACAATAATTGTTTTATAACAATTGCCCTTTCCCCCAGATTTGGCAATGTGGAGGCTCGTTGGAGATTGTGACTTGCTCCCATGTGGGTCACGTTTTTCGGAAGGCAACTCCATACACTTTTCCCGGTGGCACTGGTCATGTCATCAACAAGAACAACAGGAGACTGGCAGAAGTTTGGATGGATGAATTTAAAGATTTCTTCTATATCATATCCCCAGGTAAACAATTCTGACACTTTCTTTTCTCTGCAGGAGAAAACATAATTTTAAATATGTTGAATATGTGTTTTATTATTGTTGTTATTCTACTGTATTTTTAATAAAATGTTATCACCATAATGTTACAGAAAATCAAGTTTGAAAAAGTTGTACTATGAAGTTAATTTTCACTTAAAATGAGAAATACTATACTGATTTTAAATGCCTCACTATTCTTTTTTGTTTGTTTATTTGTTTCTTGGCACAGCATTATGCTAGAAAAAAATAGAGCAAGCAGTGCACAGAGAGATCCAAATTTAATTAACATGTATCAGGTCATTTTAAGAAAAAAATGCTTTTTTCAAGAAAAGGAAGCCTTTATTTCTTTGTTTCACAAATTAAACTGGCTGAGTTGGTAAAAAATGTTGATAATGCTTCAGTAGAGATGTTCTCTACTAACTTATTTTCTTCAATAACTGACTAGGGAAAGAATAAATGATTTACAGAAAAAAAGAAAATTAGGCAAATATTTTAATTTAAATTATATTATTTTTAAAGAATATTTAATAATTAAATTACTCATCAATAGATATGTGAATAAGCACAATAAAATGTTATACTACTTTAGCTACAGAGAAAACTGGAGATGGAAATTGAAGTAAATATGTGCTATCACTGGGTGGTGGGATAATGGGTAATTTTATTCTTCTCCTTTTATTTATCTATATATTCTAAATTTTCTTCATGAAATATTATTTATATTTTAAAATTTATTTTAAATGAATTTTAAAATTAATTTTAGTAATGTATTAAAATTTAAAAAGAATTTCAAAATTTATTTAAAAGAAAAAGAAGAAAGCCTGAGAAAATCTCATTACAGGGTTGTGTGATTAAAATTATTTCACTCTTTATAATTTTCTAGAATTTTTAAAACCATCATATTACTTATTAAAAAATGACTCTAAGACATTGCTTTTAAGAAAAAAATGAAGCTCAATGAGAAGATACAAACAAGAGGAAGATACAGGGTTGCCTTCAAGATCTCAGAGTCTAGACAGAGACCAAAGCATAAATTAATATAACAGGAATTCAACTACATTGATAAAATAAGCTTTAATGTTCTATTTTGATAGTTTCTGTGCAGATCTGTACAGTCATCAATGTCTTTATTATGTAACCCATAAAAACAGCAAAAATCCATGTCCACATCCTCTTTCCTATATCATAATTCTATTACATGGCTTAGAAAAGGCTGTTTAGTTTCTAATTGGCAAAGTTTGATTTCTGAAAATGTGTATGAGGCTGTGAAAACTCTTATAGATAAAGAAGGGAGTGAGCATAGTGAACGTCCTTATAGGGAGTGGCGGGGGTGGGGGCAAGGGGGAGGGTCAAGGAACATGTGTAAAGGACATGGACAAAGCCACAGAGGGGAAGGACTGAGGGTGGGAGGTGGGGCTGGATGGGGCAGGGGAGAGTGGTGGCAGGTAAATGGAGACAAATGTATCTGAAAAATAAAAAATAAAATAAAATAAAGATCCAGCATTATTCTATAGAAAAGAAAAATCAGAGCAATGCCTGTATAAATGTGTGATTAAGAGAATTTTGTCACACGTTGCAACCTCTTGTGTGTTGAGCAGCTATTGCCAGGCCCATTATTTCATGCTTAGATGTATTTCCCTTCACAGTGGAAAGCCAGGCCAGATGTTCAGAGTTCAGTTAAGCAAGAGTATGCAAAATTCACAACAAGGCAGTGGCACTTACAAAATCTTTTCATTTTTTTGACGATACTTTTTGAATTCAAACCATTACTTGTAGAAATATATAAGTTCAAAGATAAAGAGCAACGCAGTAAAAAGATGTGGTATGAGTGATTTTATATTACTTACATTTAGAAATGTAATTGAAATAATTGTAACATATGTATTATATTCCCTCGTGATGAATATTTTTTGTGAAAAGTGATGTGTAACTCTTCTGTATAACTTCCCATTGAGTGAAAACAGCAGATAAACAGTGGAACCATTTCTGAAACTAATGAAATGACAAGCTTTAGAGTTTAAAGAATGAAAAATAATGCTTGTTATCTGGAACTAATCACACCTTGCTACTCAGCAGGGGCTGTATATTCTGGAAAGCACAGTTTTTATGTTACAATAAATATCATTAGGAAAGTTACTGTTCATATAAATTGGGCTCACTTAAATCCAGAAGGGTACCTTGGAAAGCAGGGAAAGAATATTTGGGGAATAGGGTGAAAATATCTAGGAATTTCCTAAGAGGCATTTATGTCTCAGATAGAGCATGGCTGAACATGGAACCTGTCCGCTGTAGTGTGAGCAGAGAGAAAATCAAAATCCTGAAACATTTAACTGTTTCTCAGTGGAATAGGAAGAGAAGTAAGCTGGAAACTAGAGTTGGATGCCTTAAAACAATTCTAGCCCTGGACAGATTTCAGATCATCCAGAAACAGATAAAGTGTATTTCGTGGAAGCAGCCAGGAATCTATCATATGAATGGTGTCTAGCCATTTGGAGTGGATAACTATTTTTGTCATTATTGATAGTTCCTGTTGCTTTCAAAATCAAAATCTTAGGTTTCTTTGCTATTGTCTAGAATTGTTGGGTTTCTATTTTTCATCTCATTAGGTAACAGGTAAGTTTGTAAAGAGGGAAGGTGTTTTGAAAGGAGATCGGGGGCAGACATGCATATACATTCATACTGAGAATTATATGCTTTATTATAATTGTCAAAAACATACATGTTTATGAAGAACTCTAAAAAAGTTTATATTGAACCCTGTTTAATTCTTCTGAACCACTGTGATATTCTGGCTAAGGAAATTGTGTTAACACTCTAGAAGCACCTCCATGTATCTGTTTATTTATCTAAGATGTTTTATGAAAAGAATCCTATTTTTTTACACACGGATTTTTATACTAAATCTTATTCTTCACTTATGCAGTTATTAAAGGTGTGATTTTTAAGTACTGATCCTTTATGAATTGAATTCTGACAACAGCATTGCTTCCTTCCAATATGCTCTATAAAATATCCACTTTTTAAAAAATCTTCACCTGAGAATATGTTCATTGATTTGAAAGAGAGAGGAAGAGGAAGAAAGAAAGGGAGCAGAGAGAGAGAGAACCATTGATCTATTACCTCCTATATCCACTTCAGCCAGAGAACAGGACAATGCCCCAACCCACTGAGTCACCTGGCCAGGTCAAAATACCCACTTTGGATTGGCATGGTTTCAAAGCTGCAGGGAATAATATGCTTTCCAGAGAGACGAATACACAGTCTGAGGCAGATAGAGCTGAAGTATCTCTGAAGCCAACTAATAAATATGATTACTCTCTGTATCATATTATTTCATTTTTATTATTATCTGTATATTCAAAATAAGTAGTTCAGAAACATGTATTTCCAGAGCTTAGTAACTTTCCTGTCTATGCAGTCCTTGAAAAAAAATAGGCAGAATAGTTAGAAGAATGAATAAATGAATTTAAAAGGGAACCACTTCTATTTCTTTCTACTGAATTCTCTATTGATGTCAGTCTATATCAGAGAGACTCCTCACAAGAATTGCAGCAAATTAGAAGCTTTTGTCCCACCTCTCTGATCCAACTCCTGGTTAAGGACTCACTGGCAAAAGAATGGGGAGAAGGACTCTCCACATATCTGGAATATTTATTATTCCTCTGAGTTTGCCATCAAAAGGACATTCCATTGGCTTATCCATGTGCTTAGGGGTTTATGATTCCACCATAATCATAGGCATACACACTAATATAATCTTATCTTCCAGGACTAAGATAAAGTCTAACAGGCACAATTTAGACAGATAGTAATGTTCTCTAATAGAATAGCATAATATAAGGGCCCATAAACTCAAAATATTACTTTTCCATATATTTTTATCTTTCTCAAGATACCCATTAATTTAAAGTTAAAATGGGATATGTAAAAAAGTACATGTGAATTAATTTTATCTGATTAAAAAAATGCTATATGTTCTGATTGTTTTGGCCCATGCTCATTAGCCATTGGTAGCACCTAATGTATCTCCTAAGTGGCTATTAGAATGAAGAGTAGAAATACTTTGAAATAGTACTAAAGAGTACATTTTCAACACTTGTTTAGTTCGATTTTTGGATGCCTTTTTAAGAATGCAAGTGCTATAGCCTCATAGATGTTTAAAGCCCTGTAGGTTCTAAATCATGGGGCAGATTTTGCGAGTCATTGTGCTGTTTCAGCTTGACCTAATCTAATTGTCCTAGCAAATCCTTTGAAATGATATGTTGTAAGAAGACACCACTCTTCACAGAACAGCCCACTATAAATGGCAGCATTCTTTTCTTGTTGGTCACAGGTAAAAAGCTTAAGAACGTTGAGTGTAGTTACACTAACCATGTATTTGAAATGCTGGCTGTTCTATAAATACATATCGATCTTCGTTTCGGGGGGAGGTTGATTTCTAAATGTGTATCAGTTGACATGGTGATTAGAAGCAGCTGTTCTTATATAACCTCCAGTTATTCTTCCTTTTCTTAATGAACAGCTTGTGTTCTTGTTTTGAGCAAAAACAAATTGATAATAAATTTTAAAGACTCCCAAAACATACTTTTAAAGATATTTATGTATAGCTGGGGAAACAGTATTTTCCTTTGGCAATATTGTAGTATTTTGATCTGTATTCCAGGTATACAGCATGCATTTATAGATTCGTGAACTTGTTTTGAAGGTTATCTGTTTGTTAACCTTCTAAAAATGCTTTAGAAAATCAGCTCATTAAATGTAGTCTTCCTTAGCAACATCTTTGGATCTTTATTAACATTAAAGGCCTATATTCATTTCTATCTCTTGGAATTTGTATCTGTAAAACACAAATGTTTCCTAGTATGCTGAATTTTAAACAACAATACTTAATAACCAGCCCTAGAGCCGAATTTATAAGTCATAGAACTGTGGTTTCAGGATGATTTAATAAGCCAAGGTTTTGATGTTTCCAGCAAAATGTA